AGCTCAAACTTTCAAAACTATCAGAACTACCAGAATAGAGCCTATGCAGCTTTTGAAATGCATTGTGTATTTAATGAGCTGTATTCCCAGTATCAAATGTTGTAGTTAATTGCGGTGAGGGTTTGTATGTGTACACAAACATAACTGAACACTGTGAAACAGTAGACGGAAACATTTTGGCAATGGATAACTTGATAATTACTTAGTATTAATCATCATGGTAACATGTAGATTATTAGATTTTTTCCACACATGGTGGTGCTTTTGTGGTAATTACAGATTATGTAGCTCTGCAGTTTATCCGGTGCCTTTCACTGTATCACCTGCACTTAATTCAGGAATCTCTCTCATATTCTCATTATTTGAATACTTTACATCTGTGAGCAGTGTAGAATGGCTACCCCTCTTAAATCATTCTGTTCCCAAAATGCTGGAAACTTTTGTCTCCCTTACTGGAAAAACCAGTAGTTTCAGTGGGCTGGGATGTGGGATTAATTGGTAATCCCAGGACCAATAGCATCTAAGATCTGATACTGTCATGTAGGGGAACGAGATCCCAAGATATTTTTTAATATAATAAAATGATGACAGAAAAACAAATAAGTTATTTTTGGTAGCTTTTTACTTTTTTCTGTTTATCAATGGAGTATAAAAAAAAAAGTAAACCTGTCCATAAATGATACAGTACACATGGCCAGACTGCTGTGCTTTGGCTATGTGCTGTTGTACTTCATTCTGGCAGAACCTAATGAAAGTTTGTTTTATTGATGGAGTGACATGTTGCAGAGCTTCAGGATGTCTGAATTCTTGATTTCTGAGCTATTGTTTCTGTTGGTTGTGTAGTAGTGTTTGAGCACTTCCTATGTTAACATTGTTCTGAGTCCTTCTTGTAGTTAAAAAGCAGAATCTACCTTCAGAGCCTTGATAGAGGCAGGTGTGGTTAACCTTTGTTACATTTCTTATGCCAATGGAGTAATAGCTAATTAAGTAATGGCTGTTTAAGCTACTAACCATAAGAAGAGCAAAATTAAACTTTTAAAGTTTAACTAAATCTCTCTTCAAGATCATTTAAGGTCTCTAAGAGATGCTGGCTAGCTTTCACCACTGTGCCCTAAATCTATCAGCAATGGAGAGATAGGGAAAGTATGATGAAAAAGAACACCTTTACTTGTTAGGAAATCAAAAATTGACTGCTCCGTACCTGCAGAGATGAGAATTTTGTGAATATGGGGAACCATTCTAGTTGCAGAAGTTACTGAGGTGTTTGTGGGCAACAGCATTTTTACTGAGGCTGGCTTTACCAGCCTTCACAAAGAAGGTAACATTTGCTGAATCCTAGTTAGACCAGTGAATGGTCTCATTTAAGTCAAATTTGGATCATATGGGAGGAATAAAACAGACCCTTACAAATACCATTGAGGACTCTCATTTTAATACTATTAGTCTGACTGTCTTAAATGTGGTCATTGTCTTTCACTGTATTGTGTGGACTTTGGTGGCCTAAGCCCACAGATGTTTGTATGAACCTGTCAGGAAGGAACTGTTCAGCTTTATTTTTGAGCTAGACTGTGAATTTTCCTTGAAAAATGT